GTAGGTGTCCTATAGGGCCCAGTGGCTCAGCCTCCCCAATTACCTGAGGTGGACACTCTTAGTGCACCCCTTTGTGGGCTGTGTGCACAGTCTTGTTGTAGGTAAGCCTTGATTGTTGTGAGTATCACTGGGAGGATTTAACCTCCAGGCCAACTGGCTGTGAGAATCAGCTGTGTCTATGGTGGGAGAACTTCGGTGCCAGAGACACCCTTATGGGGCAAGACTTGCTTCAGTGGGGCTTGGTGCTCACTGAGTCTGCCCCCTGAGTGTGTCCCTTATGGATCTGAGGTGTTGTAATCTGGAGTGTCCCATTCTGACTACTGGGTACACTGGCTCTTGGTTCTCTAAGGAGGTGCTAATTTAGCCTCTGCCTGAGGCTACCCAGCAGGAGCTGGGAAGAGATCTGCAGATTCCCCTTCCTTTTTGGGGGGTTTGGAGGTGCCCTGATGAGGCTCAGCTGTGAAGCAATGCAAGCCGCTGTGGGGCCTTGGGCATTCTCTTGGAAGTTCTGGGTCTGTCTGGCCCAGCTGCAGTTAGGTAATTATCAGGTTGCAAAGGGTCGGGGCATTCATATGCAAAAGCCTCCACCGCAGCCTGGGTGGGGTGGGGTCTCAAGGAATCAACAGGGTGGAGCAAGCAGCTATGGTGGATCCTCAGCCCTGCCCCAAGGAGTCACGCGTCTCAGTGTCCCGATAACTGCCGCAAGCACCTCTGAGGGAAAGCCGCCCTCAAGCTCGCCGGCTGCCAGACAGTCCAGTTTCTCCCCGCATGAGTCCTGGGTCCCCAGAGACTTCCCGGAACTGGAGTTCAGAGCAGTCGGGAGCCTGTGACTCCCTCCCAATTCAAAAAGACAGCCGCATCCTCAGGTGCCAGCCCCTTTCCGCGCGCGCGAGCCTCCGTACCTCTGCACTTTACTACCGCAGCTCCTCTGGCTCTCAGTGTGCTTTTCTTTCCTTCTAGTTGTAGAATTTACACTCAGCCAGCCTTCCTGTAGTTCTGGATGATGTCCGTTTTGTTTTTTTGTTGTATTTTTCAATTGTTGTGGGAGGCAGCAATTTCCCGGTGTTTATCTATGCCACCATCTTAGTTTCTCTCCACATGTAGTATTTTTAAATCTTACATACTATTTGTTCTCTATATATTGAAATTGTGTATAAAACCTAAAAATGTGGGTTTTGAGTCATTTCACAGTAATTACTATTTACCAAGAAATTGTTATCTTGAAGAGTTTTATCTTACAAAGAAAAACAGAGTTCTTTATCAATTGCATAATAATCAGGTCTATAACCACATCATTTTAAGTTGTGTCATTTACAGACAGTCATTGTTTTGCTCTGATGCATTTGCAAATATGTTCGTTACATCCTTGGAAAGGTCCATGAAAGGGACTCTGACTTCCTCTAAATTACAGGTTTCTAAACAGGTCATATCTTTAAACTAGATGATTTATAGAACGCTAAGAAATAACTGGATTAATAAAAATATTGGCAAATAATCAGAATAAACAAAAATTGTTTTTTTGGGAATGAATGGACTGAGCATAATTATAATTCTATTATTTTGTTCAAAATATTGCTGATTTTAAAATCTTTTGTTTTCCATATATAAGAAAACTTGTTTTTACCCTACAGCAATTTGGTAAATTATATCCTCATAGCTCTAGATGGTTTTCTCAGTGGTTAGAGCATCGGCCCTCAGACTGAAGGGTCTCCAGTTCAATTTTGCTCAAGGGCATATATCTCAGTTGCAGGCTCAATCCAGGCTCAATCCTCAGCCTGGGCAGTGCATGGCCAGTTGGGGTGTGTGCAGCAGGCAACCAATCAATGTGTCTCTCTTACATTGATGTTTCTCTTCCTCTGTGTGGCCCCTCCCTTCCACTCTCCCTAAAAATCAATGGGGGTGCGGGGGATATCCTTGGGTGAGGATTAACAAAACAAAACAAAAAAAATACACCCTCATAAACAATATTGAAGCATTTATATTTTCCTCCCTACCTAATCCCTCCAGATTTGGCAACTCTTAATGAGTGAGTATTATTATTTTCATGGCAATACACTTCTTTGTATGAATTCAATAAGACCAACTTTCATTTGCGGTTTTATTAGCCACGACTTTGACTGGAATGCCATGCCTATGAGAGATATGCCTGAACACTGCATATCACTGGAAAGCCTTAAGGAATGAATATTGACTTTTGTTTTGTTTTTTGTTAATCCTCACCTGAGGACATTTTTCCATTAGTCTTTTAGAGAGAGTGGAAAAGAGAGGGAAAGACAGAGAGAAACATCAATGTGAGAGAAACACATCGATTGGTTGCCTCCTGTATGCGCCCTGACTAGGGCCTGGGCCAGGGAGGAGCCTGTGAGCAAGGTATGTGCCCTTGACCAGAATGGAACCTGGGACCCTTTAGTCTGCAGGTGGACGCTCTACCTACTGAGCCAAGCTGGCTAGGGCTGAAGATTGACTTTAAAGCCAAAAAGATTACATCTAGGCCTCAGTTCTATTTCAGCTCCAGACCCAGAAAAGCGGCAAGACCAGAAAAGTGTCTCTGTGGCTCAGGACCAACTGCAATGACTAATGCCCCCTGCTCTGGCACCAGCCAATCAGTCAGTGGAGACCACAACCCTGAAAAAGCACGTTTAGAAAGCTGATAAAAATTGTATTGAGACCCTCTCCTGAGAGCACCCCCAAGATTCCACCTGCAAGAGAGAGATGGATATGCTCAGGATGAAGGACCCGGCACACACTCTCCCCCAGGGGAACATGCCCACTCCATTTCCTTCCCCACTTCTTTCCTCTAAGGGACCCCACAAGACTTGTAACTAGGGGAGCAATGGGCAGCGGCAGCTCAGACCAGGCTAATCCCCTTAAACCTGTCTCCAGGCCCTCTTTGCTTGACTTCTCAGTGAGCTGAAGCAGCCCAGCCTAGGCTCTCCTGTTGCTTCTTCTATGCATCTTCCTGGTTAAATGTGGGAAATATTGAATTAAATATAGGCTTATCATCATCGTTACAAAATTTCACTTCAGAAACTTCAATATGCTAATATGCACCCTGAAGAGAAGGTGTATGGCCTTTTCAAACTTATTTGGCCCAGACTGTTCTATCAGCTCATCTCCAAAGCCAAGAGACTGTAGAACAGGCTCTACCTGGACATGTCCACACATCACAGACACTCACTACATTCTAGCAAAATTTCAACACTAGTCACTCTCCATTGAATTGAAACTGTCTGTAATATTCTTTGCCTTAAACTTGTTCATGAGGATAAATATGCAAATATAGGGTGTCCCAAAAAATGTATACACACATTTTGAATAATTATAAAGGCATTGTTTAATAAAATACATTCCATTTTCAAAATTGAGCCATCGGCCATTAAAGTGTGTATACATTTTGGGGGGACAACCTGTAGAATCAGAAACACAAACTCATTTCTTCTCACTGGATCTCAGCCCAGGTGCCCAGAGTACTGAAATCAGCTACTCTGGCAGGTTGACCTACAGCAACGCTATCACTTAAAATAGGATTTTTAAGTGATAGAAGAGGAGAAAGGAGAACAAGCCGCTTCCTACTGGCCCTGTGCCTTCCATTTAGCACATCTAAAGGACCATTTTTCCTCATTTCAAAACTGATAGCCAACTTATTCTTGTTGTCTTGCTATTTAAATGGCTGTCTTCTTTTGCCAGAGCTTATTTACTCTAACACTGAATTTTAAGCATCTCTAAAAACACTTGATATGTTATTACTCTTTCCAGATAGCCTCTGAGAGGCACACAAAGAACATTCAGGAAGAAAGGAGGAATGATGCTGAATACAGTGCAGTGAACAAAAGGAGCTTCAAGGAGAGGCGCCCCGCTGCCCAGAGCCTGGACCGTGTCGCCAGAATGAGAACTTACCGGTACTTCTTGCTACTCTTTTGGGTTGGTCAGCCCTACCCAACTTTCTCGACTCCATTATCTAAGAGGACTAGTGGTTTCCCAGCAAAGAGAAGGGCCCTGGAGCTCTCTGGAAACAGCAGGCATGAGCTGAACCGTTCGAAAAGGAGCTGGATGTGGAATCAGTTCTTTCTCCTGGAGGAATACACGGGATCCGGTAATCAGTATGTGGGCAAGGTAGGATTCCATGGGGTGCTCTGACATGGTGTTTTTAAAAGCCTGAAGAAGTTAACTGCTAGCAGACAGACGGGGAGGGTGTGCACTAGTCCCCAACGCAGTAAGAACTGTTGCTTATCAGTAAGAGTTCTTCTCCCACTCGAGTCGTTTCAGGTAGAGGACTGTGGCTAGAAGCTGAGAAATGTTAGCACTCTTACAAAGAGAGAGAAATGCCCCGGTGGGAAATGATACGCCCACAACCATCCGCACAGGATTATCATAAATCCTTTAATTTTTACTTTAGCTGGAAAAATATGGCCCAGCTTATTCTATGAAGCTGGAGGTATTAAAAATAGGAACAGAGCGATTAAGCCGTAAGGAAAGGCAGGTCCCTTTTTCTCCGTCTGAAAGCAAACATTCTGAGCTTTTGTTCTTTGGCCGGGTTCAAGTTAACTATTTCTTAACTCTGGCACCTACAGCGCCGGCCATTCTCCAACCTAATGGAGCCCTTTGCCCTCAAAACCCTCCACGGCCTTCAGTTGGCTGTTGGGACTGCTGCTGCCGGTTTGTCTTGTCTCAGCTCATTGGCAAGAACTAGGCATTTCAAAGACTTGTGGTTTAGCCGTGGCGAGGTTCACAGAGGAGACAAATGGTTATGGAGAGGTGCTATTTCCAAATATCATCTGACCATTTTACTGACTCCAGAAAGTGGGATGAGGAGGCATCGCTTCTGATCGCCCGGAGCCAGGGCTGGCGCTGAGTCAGGGAAACAGCTTGGTTACGCTGTCAGCCTGAGTTTCCCTGACATTTTATCATCGGCTCCATTCGTGTTGCAGAATATCTGCATACTGTAAAGATGTGAAAGATAAAAAGCCAGGGATAAGGGTTTGAACTTTGTGAGTTCTGTGTTTCATCATATGGTGTTGATAAGAAAAATCATCGTCACACGTCCTGTACGTAAACAAACTGGGGGTGAACGTGTAACCGAGATGATAAACGTCTTCGTTTATGATTGCAGCTACGACTTCAGACATCAATAGTAGCATCTGCAAATTGCATAAATTTTGCAGATTCCAAGGGCTGCGTGGTCACATTTCAATCTGTTGTCAAATAGCCCCGAATAACCATGTGCAGAGCAGTCTCTTTAAGTATTTACCACTATCAGTGAGGGAGAGCCAGCCAGGGCTTGGGCTGAGGTAACCAGGCTTAGTTCCAATGAAGTGAATTATTAATATGGAATAAAGGAGGAGAGGAAGTATTCGGTGAAGGGGTGAACATCAACACAGATCCCCAAGGGCCTAGCCTTGTATTTGCTGTGAAATTCACACGCTGTGCCACTGCCGAAGACCGTCCGCGTGCCTGTACTTCTCCCTGTTTCTTTTGTGAAATTTGAATAGCACTGCATTAATAGGGTAATGGTTGTAGAAACATTAATAATCCTATCATCTTTAAAGCACCTTCTAGAATACAAATAACTACTGTCATAGAAGTTTTTTCAAGTACTTTGTCTAATTGATTCTCCTCTTTCTCTTTTCTGCTTTTTCCTCTCAAATGGTGATGCCCTTGTACAACAAAAATACCATGTATTTTTAAAGAAAGGCAGGCTATTTCAGGACACTAGGAGCAGCAGTGAACAAAACCGCCTAGGAATCTGCTCTAGGATTATAATTGCGGGAAGTAGTATTGCCTTGGGGAAAAGTCGTGAGCTGTGGCCCAGGGCCAGCGATTAACCTTCCCGGCTTCAGCTTCTCCTCTAGAAAACACCAATGCCTTGCTTCCTGGAGTTGCCGTGTAGTTTAAGTGAGATGAGAACTAGTGGCTGGCACATAGTAGGGGCATAAAGAAGTTGTTATTATTGGTGAAAAACCTACTGTATGCTCTCTATTACATTTATTGATAATGCATCGAAGTGGAATGTTGATTTTTATATCATTGCAAAAGTAAAATGAGGTAACTGATGGATCTCTCAGTGGATGGGAAATGTAAAGGAGAGAGGCGAAATCCCTTCACAGTCACAGCTTCAATCTGATTGGTTGGATTGGGATATTTTATTAGCAGCAAGATAAATTTCCCTGCCTTGCCTTTGCCTGCCCTCCCCCACCTCCTGGAAGCTGTAACACAGAAGAGAGCACTAGCTGGAGAAGAAAGTCAAGGGCAGGGATTGAGTAGTGGGCAGCCTTGCTTCATCTGATGTGTGTGAGAGGTATTCGTGCACTATTCATAGGGCGTTTTCCCGAATCTGTCTTTGGAGTTATGTATCATCAGTAGACAAAAGGAAGACTATAATGTGCTTCGTGCCACAATAAAAAAAAAATAGACAAAAATAAATAAATAAAATTAAAAAGAAAAAACGGGTTGAGTTCCTCATGTGGCAACAAGTTGGTCCACTTTTAATAAATATGGAATAAAACAGAGACCGATGAGAATATCCAGATCCATAGGGTCCAGAAGCTTTTGAAAACAATTTTTTTTTTGCCAAGATCAGGCGATAGCAGAGTTTCCAGATTTCCTCAATTCACAATGTCCTTAATGTCTCAATCATTTTTTTCACAGTGTCCTTAGGTCAAAAGAAATAGTTAGGTCCAAACAATTTACTAAGTATTTATGTTCTAAAAACAAATAACTGTTTGACAAAAATACACAGTTAACAGAAAAAAAATAATTGCATTTCATTCTTAAATAACCACAGTTACTTACTAATGGAAGGTGTGTGCCTTCTGGGCACTGCACACCTTCTCAGACTGGACATTTCCTTTTCCACATTGATTTTTGCATATACCTGCCTTCTGCTACTGTGCTGGGGGCAAGCCAGCTTCATAAATACCTAACATCATCAAAAGAAATGTAGCACCACCTACTGTTGAAACTGTGAACTACTCTGAGCTAGTACTTCACAAGATGTCTGACAGAGTCAAGGGTTTGTTGCATTATTTCCCTGGAAATTTTTAAATATTTTTCTGGTGCCACAGTGAGTTCATTGCTACACCCCAAGGTACCTCAGTGAACACTCTGGGAACCCTTAGACAATAGATTCCCATGTAAAGGTATACAAAGGCTTACTGAACCTTATCCCTAGTAAAAAATAGTTAACTTGGAGCCTCTTCTTGAGGCCTAAAACAAAAGATTAATAGTACAGGTAATGGATAGAGGCGTTAACTGAGGAAAAGTAGTGCAGTCGAGCAAATAACACTTGCAGTAGAAGAAAAGTGTTTTGACATGATAAACATTTGTTTATATTTGTATTTGTGTTCATTGGTTCCAGTTATTCTGGGTTCAAGTCAATAGAGATGACAGTGACAATTGTGAAGCAAGGAAAATTTGAGAATTGGTGTGGGAGCAAAGGGCTATCGAGAGTCCAAAGAGAAAAAAAGATAGGGTCACATGAGCATCCAAGAAGCAGGAGAAGACAGAGTTGGAAGCTAGATGACAGTAAAGTGAATAGACAAGGTCATACTTAAAACTTGAAGGGCAAGCGAGAGCAGTAAGACCTTCCTCCTTTTCTTGTCTTAATACTCCTCAGCATTTCACTCATGGCCATAAGATGAACAGAGACACAAACATGGACTCTGCAGGTTAGGTCGGGAGGCACTTACTGTGAACAGCTGAGATATTGAAAACCCAAACTCTGACATATGAGAACATTTCAACACCTGACTCACCTAGAAGGGTGGTGGCAGGTAGAGGTATCCAGGTAGGAAGAAGTGGTCCTGTACTGGGTAAGAGTTTGTGAGCTTAAGATAGATAGATACAGATACAGATAAGGAATGTGATTTTTTTTTCTAAAATACATGAATATTTGGATGCTGATTTACCATAAGCAGCATCTATGTCACCTGGGCACTCATTAGGATGCAGACTCCTGACTCACCTAGAAGGGTGGTGGCAGGTAGAGGTATCCAGGTAGGAAGAAGTGGTCCTGTACTGGGTAAGAGTTTGTGAGCTTAAGATAGATAGATACAGATACAGATAAGGAATGTGATTTTTTTTTTCTAAAATACATGAATATTTGGATGCTGATTTACCATAAGCAGCATCTATGTCACCTGGGCACTCATTAGAGATGCAGACTCTTGGGCCCCACCTGAGAAGCTGCATTTCAACAAGAGCCCCAGGTGAACTGTATGCACATTCAAATTTGACAAGTGCTGCTTTTACAAATACTTTGCCTGGGTCTCGCCTCCCCAGAGGTTCTGATTGACTTGGTTTTTAATTAAGTATTTATGAATTTATGATTCCAATATGTGACAAAATTTGAGAATCGTTGCCCTAGGAGAATATTATCGGCAATAATTATAACACAACATGGCAAGTTCGGCGATAAACGTCTGATGGAAATATAAGAGAGAGGGCCAGCTGGGAGCGGGGTTCAGCGGAGCTTCCTGAAGGAGGTGATGATGTTGAAGAACCACCTCAAGGTGTCAGCTCGCACGGCAGAGGGAGAATTACCAGGACTTCCCAATTAATTGGATGCCAAAGGAGAGAAAGCCAAAGGTTCAGAGATTTCTATTCAGAATCAGACAGTGGTTCTATTAGAATCACTAATGCCGGCACAGGAAACAGAAAGAGGTGCATATTTTCTCGTCCAGGTTTTCAGGGAAGAGTGTACGATTTAATACAAAATCTACTTAGGTTATTTTTGGCTTTTAGAAAAATAAGAAGAAAGCATCATAATTTCACCCTTTCAGAAAAACACCATGCCTTCCTGCCAGCTTTAGGTAATGTAGCAATTCCTTGGTGACAATCAGTCTATAGTGTGAGATTAAGCTCATTAAGAAAGAACAGAGGCAGATATTGATTAGATGTTTGAGGCACAGGCATTAAAACATAGATAAATATATTTTTAAACCTCACAACTATGCACAATATGAGGCAAAAGATTCACATATTGTCATTAAACAGACCCCAGCGAAGCTTGATTTCCTTGTCTCCTCCACTTGATCCTTCACAATGTTCTTTGTCCTCTTCTTCCACACAATGTGTACCTAAAACTAATCTCCATTAGAAGCATTCGAGATGCTCCT